TCCTGGTGCCAAAGGTGTACCAAGAGCATCTTGTAGCAGTACTGAGAAAGATTTCTATCATGTCTATCATGGGGTAACTCACATCTCTGATGCACTTCAATTGGTTGGAGAAGTTCTTTCTCTTCTTATTCTTCTTTTTAAAGATTTATTTTATTAACAAAACAGATTTACAGAAAGGAGAGGCAGAGAAACCTTCCTTCTGCTGGTTCACTCCCCAAATGGCCACAAAAACCGGAGTTGAGCTGATCTGAAGCCAGGAGCATCTTTTCTGGAAGCTTCCATGTGGGTACAGGGTCTCAGGGACTTGAGCCATCCTCTGTTGCTTTCCTAGGCCATAATCAGGGATCTAGATCAGAAATGGAGCATCCAGGACTAGAATTAATGCACATATAGGATGTTAGCCACTACAGGTAGAGGCTCAGCCTACTATGGGCATCATGGTGCTTGCCCCATGACAAATTTTATTTGTATTATTTTTTATAGTTTTTATTGTTTTTTGATACAACTTAGTTGGCAGTGGGCTCTCCCACACCCTTCCCAAATTCCCTCTCCTCCCCCCGTTCTCCTCTCTAGAATAATTATGTGTGTCCATCGTGAATTCTCCCAAGTCCATCATGCTTCCACTGGAGTATCTCCCAGCCATGTAGAAGAATAACTTTTCGTGGTAGGTTAATTCTTGTATCCTCAGGCCCTAATACAGGTACAGTGAGGATTAGGCCTTCGTTGTTTTTGGGCCATACCAATAACAGTTATATGTGGACACTGACAATCAAAGGTGGTTATAAACAATCCACCTCTTGTGGGTGGTTAATTAATGAATTACATCACAAGTTCTTGTTACATTAGGTACAAGTAAATATGAAGTAACACTGATTAACACAGAGTAAGATTCACATATGATATCTCTAGATTTGACATCATATTATATTAGAGCAAACATATGATCTCTAACCTTTTGGGATTGGCTCATTTCCCTTAGCATTATGGTCTCTAGTTTGGCCCATTTAGCCACAAAGTAATGCATTTCCTTTTTTTTCTAATTGCCGAGTAGTGATCCATAGTAGTAGTAGAGTACATGAACTACAGTTTCTTTATCCATTCCTCTTCTGATGGGCATTTAGGTTGCTTCCAAGTTCTTGTGATTGTTGATTGTGCTGCAATAAGCATTGGTACGCATGTTGCTTTGCCATGACAAATTTTAATCAGTAATGCTTTAATTGCAATAGGTAAGTGGGTCTAGTGTGAGCTGAACTCAATATTTATTTGTGCTGAAGTGACTGTGGGTGTTACAGGGAGAGTGAGGGATCAGAAAGGGGCGCAGTGAAAATGGAACAGAGAAAAGGAAAATCACAAAATGTTGCTTATATAAATGTTGGCAATTAGCAAAATTAAAATCCATCCTCCACACTAAAAAGACTGTATGACAGAGGCCCTGTCATTTGTTTTTTTAAAAACATACATCTTTTGTTTATTAATAACTTATTTAGTGACAATTAATAATTTATCAATGTTTAGAAAAGCATTTATTTGAAAGGAAGAGGAACAAAATGAGGAGAGGCAGACAGGGAGGGAGAAAGGGGGGGGGAGAGAGAGAGAGAGAGAGAGAGAGAATATCTTCCACATGTTGGTTCACTCCCAAAATGGCACTTCCAAGAACTAGTCTGATCCTATCTGAAGCCAAGATCCTGGAGCTTCTTCTGTTCTCCCACATGAGTGCAAGATCCCAAGGCTTTGGGCCATCTTCTATTGTCTTCCTTGGCCATAAGCAGAAAGCTGGATGGGAAGTGGAGCAGCTGGGACATGAGCTGGCACCTACATGGGATCCTAGTATTTGCAAGGGAGGATTAGGCAGTTGAGCCATTGCACTGGGTCTTGAGAATCACACTTCAAAAGGAATGGCTTTCAGGTGTATAGCACATCTTCGAGATGATTACAGTCAAATAGTCTGCGATGTTTCAGGGCTTGATGTTGTAGGAAGTATTTGTTATCTTTGAGAGTGCCACATTGTGTCAGATCCTAAATGTGAGAATATAGGATTTTCTTCTCCTTGGGAATGTCTTCTCCAGTTTCTGACAGATTTCACACCCCCTCCCATCATATGGGAGTTACTAACCTCAACTATCAGATATGAAAATGCATACAACTTGTGTTTGATCAACACTTGGGGATGTTAGATGATGACTATACATTATATATATATATATATATATATATATATATATATATATATATAATTTGATGGGCAGATACACTACATGCAGATTTAGTTAACTTCCCAAGCCCACAGCTGCCAGGGCTGGACTAGGCTGAACAAGCGACAGGGTTCAACCATGTGTGCCATTAGTCATTGCTTCCCAGAGTGCACAATTGCAGGAAGCTGGAATTTGGAGTGGAGCCAGGGCTCAAACCCAGGATGCTGGCATTTGAAGTGGCACCTTAATGACTGGACTGAATTGCCATTCTTACAAAGCTTTAGGTGCGAAAGGATAGGGGATAAAATCTTGAGTGTTGAGCATCTGTAGGTTATAAAGGTCAAGCTTATTTGTTTGTTTGTTTTTCGGAAGCGGCTGGCTAGAGTTTGGTCAATGAGATAATCTGTCAATTCCCATGAACAAAATGGGAATATACTTGATTTTTCTCTTTAAAAATAGCAATTTCATTTCAACCACACTTTTCTTCCTTTTAAAAATTTTGTTTTTAAGTTTTTATTTATTTATTTGAAAGGTGAAGCTAGAGAAAGAGATATCTTCCATTTTCTGGTCCACTCTTCAAATGGTTGCAATGACCAGGACTGAGTCAGACAGAAGCTAGGAGTCAATAGGCCCAAGAACTTCAACAGTCCTCTGTTCCTTTCCTAGGCATATTAGCAGGGAGCTGAACTGGAAGCACAGTAGCCTGGACACAAATTGAACTGGTGCCCATATGGGATGCCAACACTGCAGATGTTGGCTTGCCTACTATGTGCAGAACCACCTCACACCCTCCTTTCTTCCCTTAAAAAAGAAAAAAAATCTTTATATGTTTGAAAAGCAGAGCAACAGAGAAAGAGATATAGAGATGGAGAGATTCACCTGCTGATTCACTTTCCCAAATGTATACCACAGTCAGGGCTGGGTGAGGCTGAAGCCAGGAGCCCAAAACTCCATCCAAGCCTCCCACAATGGCTTTCTTCTTTCTCCCAGAATCCACTAGGAGGAGGGAGCTGGATGGGAAGCAGAGTAACTGGGACTTGAGCATAACACCCACCCTGTATTCCTGGCTTGGGTACAGTTTTATGGGAATGGACACCTGGAGCTGCATCCATGATCTTGAGGTCCCGAGGAGACAGAGAGGTGTTATTGAACAGCCACTTCCGTATGACTGGTGATGTGAGAAGTCAGGAAGAGCACAGGCGTTTGAGGACATCCTTGAGTTGTCATTCTGTTGAGTTCTTGACGGCCCTGCCTTCTTGTCGTTAGCCATTGCTCTGCTCACAAGACACCACTGCTGCCATTTTCCCGGGTCTTTCTCTGTGGAATCCCCCCAGCCCTCACTCCATGGCAGGAGCGCTTTATCTTTAACAGATCTTGCTTTGCTAGTTGACATTGCCTGCATGAAAATTGTCCTGTGTGAGACAAGAACTCAGGCTGCTTTTGTCTTTTCCCGTGAAATTCCCTGCAGGAAATTTAGCACCAATTTTCTATTTCATTACCTTCTCTAGGATACCACATCATATTTAGTTGTTAAGTCTCTCTATTTCCTCTGATTTATAACAGTTTTTTTTTCTTTTTGATAACAGAAAACATGTTTAAGATGTTTGGAAAGAGGCACAGAAGCAGAGAAGAAAATGGAATGTGAATTCAAAGCCAAATTGAATTTATGAGAGAGAAATTTAAAAAGGTTGCTTTCTGCGTGGGCATAGATGGCATGACCACGTGGTAGAAGCACATTCCTTCAGCAGGCTGGACTTTTCATAAGTTGGGGGTTTCGGGGTGTTCTTAGGGGGGGATAATTCCAAGAAAATGGAGGAGTGGTTGGGGACCAGGACCAGCTTTTCACGGGCATTTCAATCTTGGTAGGTCTTGCTCCCCGGCAGGCAAGGAAATGCAGGGTGGGGTGGGGAGCGGGTCAGACTGCTCTTGTGAAATGCATGTCAGAGTCCTTGGTGGAAGTCTCTGCTTACTCTCCAGAGGGCATAAGGGGAAAACATGTGTGCTTGTCCCCTTAGGTAGGAATGGGTGTTGCAATTTGCTGTTTTGTATTTTATTTATTTTTGCTTTTATTTTTTCACGTTAGAACGGAGGTTCTGAGGAGGAATGCTACAGCTGATGCTGTGGGCTTTACCCATGACACTGCCGGTGATTTTATGTTCAAGGACTGTCAAATTTTTGCACTGTAGTTACCTGACTCCGGTTAGTTCCCGCACTCCTTGGAATCAACTCTGGAGGCACAGCCCATAATCAAGATGGGGGTGGAAATGCAGAATAATGAAAGAGTAATTGAGAATTCTGAAAATGCTGGTTCCGGGACAAAAATAAATGACGGAACGGGGCGGAGCTTGTTAGTCCATGGGGTGAGGCGGGGTCCAGGCAATGGGGAGGAAGGACTGCGGGTGCAGTGGGACCCCAGCCAAGTCAGCTGGGGAGTGGGGCGATCCCGGGTTCCGGCGGGGCTGGGATTGGAGGAGCAAGAAGGGGCAGGCAGGTCAGTGAGCGAAAGGGCGGGACGGGGCAGGGTCCTGGATTGCACGAGGTGGGCTCTTCAGAGCTCAGCTTGACCCGGCGCCAGGGTTTTTTTTTTTTGTCTTAATCTCTGGCTCAGGGCTGGCTCAGGGCGAGGAATGTGGGAATGCAGAGTTGGAGGGCTGCGTAGGGAAGGAAAGGCGCCTTGGAGTTTAAGAAAATGGCGCACGCATGCGCGGGACGCCAGGCGGCTTCGACCCACCCTCTGCCGCCGCCATCTTTGAGTTTGCAGCCGACGGAGGAGAGCCGGCTGCGCTTCCGGTTCCGGGGCCCCCGTTGCCGGGGTAACGGGAGCGGTCCTGGCCGCGAGCTTCCCTGAGTTTGTAACGGAGGAACAGTTAGAACCGATTTGGGAGTCCTGGCGGTATTCTGTGCTCCCTAGTCAACTACCAGCTTTCCCAAGCCGTTCCTACAGCGACTGCTGCCCCGCGCGCTGGGGGCGTGTGCGTAAGGCCCGGCGTGCGAGGGGCGCCTCGTGGGAACCGGGCGGAAGGGCTGTGCGGGGACCTGAGGGGGCCGCGAGTCTTGGGGTTCGGGGCTGTGAGGGAGCGGATCTGGCTCATCACGGCCGGCATGGGGCCCGAGCTGGCCGGTGGGGGACTGGTCGGGGGTCTGTTGGGGTCTGACGGGATCTGACGGAGTCTGACAGGGGGTCTGTCGGGGGACTCTCGGGGGTCTGACGGGGTTTGTTGGGGTCTGACGGGGTCTGACGGGGTTTGACGGGGTCTGACGGGGTTTGACGGGGTCTGACGGAGTTTGTTGGGGTCTAACGGTTGTCGGGGTTTGACGGGGTCTGTCGGGGGTCTGACGGGGTCTCTTGGGGTCTTATGGGGGATCTGTCGGGTGTCTGACGGGGTCTGACGGGGTTTGTTGGGGTCTGACGGGGTCTGACGGGGTCTGACGGGGTCTGTCGGGGTCTGACGGGGTCTGTCGGGGTCTGACGGGGTCTGACGGGGTCTGTCGGGGTCTGACGGGGTCTGTCGGGGTCTGACGGGGTCTGTCGGGGTCTGACGGGGTCTGACGGGGTCTGTCGGGGTCTGTCGGGGTCTGTCGGGGTCTGACGGGGTCTGTCGGGGTCTGTCGGGGTCTGACGGGGTCTGACGGGGTCTGTCGGGGTCTGTCGGGGTCTGTCGGGGTCTGACGGGGTCTGTCGGGGTCTGACGGGGTCTGTCGGGGTCTGACGGGGTCTGTCGGGGTCTGTTGGGGTCTGTCGGGGTCTGACGGGAGGGAGTCTGTTGGGGGTCTGTCGGGGGTCTGACGGGGGTCTGACGGGGTTTGTTGGGGTCTGTCGGGGTCTGACGGGGTCTGACGGGGTCTGACGGTAGCCATTTGAGATTTTAGAGGCACCTCTTTGGTTTGTTAGCTTTCTTGGCCCTTATTCTCTGACCAGTGTTTTGCAAAAACTTACTTCCTTGAGGATTCTGATATCTAAAGATTACTGTTTCTATCACATTTTATATACATATATAAATACACACCGGTATAAATTATGATTGTTTCTGTTCTAAGACGTCCTAGCCAATGGGGCTTCCTTGCTGCTGTTGATTCTGGGTTAGTTTAAGTTTCAGTAAGGCAGGTAAGTGACCTGAGCAGCTGGCCTTGAAGGCGGCTAGGGGAGTTTCCATGATTCATTAGCACTCCCCAGAGCCTCGAGCTAGAGCTGTTTGCGAGGGACCCACTGAGGGCATCCCGTTCCTACCAGGATCCCGGTCAGGCACAAAAAGCGTTCGAGAAGCAGCTGAGGATTTTTGAAGATGTTCAGAGCAGTGATCATCATACAAGCGGCAGTTGAGACCAAGAACTGCCTTTGCTTTGCAGATTGGAGCCCTGCTCAGAAGCTCCAGGGTCAGCATGCCGAAGGCAAGAGGAAGAACAAGTCGGATCCGAAGGCGGAAACGCTTCAAAAGTTCTCCAACAAGAGGAGGTACTGGTTGCTTCAAGCTACTGGCAAAAAGAGAAATGTTTTGTTAATGGGCGTCTGTTCAGACAGTGTGCCCCAAAGGGTCGTGGGTAGTGGTCAAGGAGGATACTACAAAAAACCACTGTTCTTATTGGTGCCATGAGTTTCTTTAAACCCTGTGGGAGAGGAAGTATATTAAACATGTGCTATGCACAGCTGTTAGTTCGAGTTGCTTTGCCCTGTCATTCAGGTCTTATAAGTCCTTGTTGATCTTCTGTCCACTTGTCCTTATCGCTAATGAAAGTGGGGTCTTGGGGTCAGTGCAGTGGCTCAATAGACTAATCCTCAGCCAGCGTCTCACATGGGCACTGGTTCTAGTCCTGGCTGCTCCACTCTCCACTTCTCATCCAGCTCCCTGCTTACGGCTTGGTAAATCAGCAGAGGATGGCTCAAGTTCTTGGGCTCCTGTACCCACTTTCTGGGTGGGAAACCTGGAAAAAGCATCTGGCCCTTAACTTTAGCTCAGCTCCAACCATTGCAGCCGTTTGGGGAGTGGACACTTGGATGGAAGATCACTTTCTCTCCCTCTCTGGAAATCTGCCTTAAAAATAAGCATAAATAAATTTTTAAAAAGTGGGGTCTTGAAATCTCCAGTTATTGTAGAATTGTCAGTTTCTCCCTTTAATTCTGTTAGCTTTTGCCTCCTTTATTTCAGTGCTCTGTTTTTAGATGTGTATTTATAAGTGTGATGTCTGCCTGATTGATTTACTTTGTCATAAAATGTTCCTTTTTTTATCTCTAATAACTTTTTTATTTTAAAGGCTTTAAAACCACTTTAACTTTCTTATCATGGTTTGTATGATACATATTTTTCCATCATTTCACTTCTTAAGATTTATTTCATTTTTATTTGTAAGGCAGATTTACAGAGGAGAGACGGAGAGAAAGATCTTGCATCCTCTGGTTCACTCCCCAAATGGCTGCAATGGCTGATGGGAGCCAGGGCCCAGGAGCTTCTTTCCGGTTCCCAAGTTGGTTCAGGAGCCAAGGACTAAGGCTATCCTTTGCTGCTTTGCCGGGCCACAAGTAGGGAGCTGAATGAGAAGTAAAGCAGCTGGAATTTGAACCAGTGCCCATATGGGATGCTGGCTTGGTAGATGCTTAACCGACGATGCCGTGGCACCAGCCCGTCATTTCACGTTCAGTCTGTGTCTTTCAATCCGAAATGCATTTCTTGTAGCTACCATATAATGTGGTCTTTTAAAAATTGTGTCCAGACTGGAAACTTTGCTTTCCGATGGATTTCTTAATCTAGTCTCGGTTAATGTTATTATTTATATAGTTGGATTTATCTGTTTTACATTTTGTTTTCTATATGTCTTGTATTTTTTTGTTCCTATGTTTTTCCTTTACTATTTTCTTGATGAGTATCTTCTAATTTAACATAATGCTTTAGTATCTTTTCATTAAAAAAGTTATTGTCTTGATGATAATTCTACGTCTTACACTGTATCTGATAAGTTGATTAGGATCTACCTCAGCCTAAGTCCTAGCCTGGGCTATCATAACCAGTATCAGAGACTGGGTGGCTTATGTAGTACAGCCTGACTTCTCTCAGCTGCAGAGGCTGCGATGGACAGGAGCAAAGTGCTAACCAGTTAGGTTCCTATTGAAGCTCTCTCCCTGGCCTTCTCTGTCCTCAGTGCTCAGGTTGAGGTCTCTTTACTCTGATTATTGGTCTCATCAGGACAGCGCCACCCTCTGGCCTTCATCTCTAATAACCATCGTTTTGAAGTTAGGGCTGGAACATAAGAATTTTCTGGGGGATATCAAGATTCAGTCCATTACAGTCTTACGTATTACATATTTTTAATTTCTGTCAGTAGTGTTTTCTAGTTTTTGGCTCATAGACTTGCACATCTTGTTTTAGAAGTATCACTTAGGAATTATACATTTTTTGGGCCCTGTGCAGTAGCCTAGAGACTAAAGTCCTCGCCTTGAACGTGCCAGGCTCGCACATGGGCCCCGGTTCTAATCCTGGAAGCCCTGCTTCCCATCCAGCTTCCTGCTTGTGGCCTGGAGTGGCAGTTGAGGACGGCCCAAAGCCTTGGGACTCTGCACCTGTGTGGGAGACCTGGAGGAGACTCCTGTCTCCTGGCTTTGTACTGGTTCAGCTCCAGTTGTTGCACTCACTTGGGGGGTGAATCATCAGATGGAAGATCTTCCTGTCTGTCTCTCCTTCTCTCTGTATATCTGACTTTGAAGTAAAAAGAAATAAATCCTAAAAAAAAAGTATTACACATTTTTTGGTGTTACAAATGATATTATGAAATACGCATTTTTTGTTTGCTTCTTGCTAGCATATAGAAATACATTGTTGTTTGATGTTGATCTTGTAACCTTGACTAAACTCGAGTTCCTGTCTTGTCAGTCATGCCAGGTTGTCTACATAGGTGCTCATGTCTTCTGGGAATAAAGACAGTTTTACTAACTTCCCAGTGGATATCTTTTATTTATTTTTCTTACCTTTTTGCACTGCTAATTGTTTATGCTTCCTGGGTGTAGGAGGAAAGCCCTCAGTTTTTTTCCCCCTCTTTTTTAACCATTAAATGTGTCAGCTATCTTGTTTTTGAATGTATTTTTTGGGGAGGGAGGGCCTGAGGAAGGGAAAGGAAGAGACCAAAGGCCCCCACTCGGACTGAGAGTCGGGGCTGGGCCAGGAGCTGAGAGCTCAGCCTGCCGCCATGGCGCCCTTCTCGCTCACTGCAGTATGGAAGCAGCTGTGGAGCTGGGGTGGCAGCCCAGCCACGCCGCGGTGTGACACAGGTGTCCCCCCAGTGGCTAGAACACCAGGTCAGATGCCTGCCCTGGACTGAATTTATCATTTGAGCTTTGGGTACCATCATGTTCTCCAGCCCTGGGAACGCGATGGACGGGCAAGATGAGGCACACAGCACAGACGGTGAGGTCGAGAGCGCTTCCTCTCGGGATGACAGCTTTTCCTGAACCCTGGGAACACAGAACGCCGCACGGTGTAGTGAGATCTGTGTGTGGGAGGACGAGCACAGCCCAGCCCTTCCCCGAGAGACAACTCATGCCCCTTCAGGCCGTGCAGCTGTCTAAGAAGGAGGGCTCAGCGGGCAGCCAGCGAATACCCAGCACGGCCAAGGCAGCCTGCTGAGCCGTCTACACAGCAGGAGGAAGCACTAGTCAGGGAGCCCGAGAGGGAGACAGGTTCTGCACAGTCTGCACGTCCTGCAGAGGGAAGAGACAAGGCGGCGGCTGCTGCTTCCTGCAGCTGGAGGACACGGGTGCCGGCAGGAAAAGCTCCACAGCACGAGACACGCGGGGAAGGCCCCTCCTCCACACAGGACGCCTGAGAACTCAGTGACATGGGCTTTCAGGAAAGTAACCACCATTACTCCGCACCAGGAACAGCATCTCTAACTGAATCTTCAGAGCAAGGGGGCAAAGAAAGCGTTATTCCCCTAGGAGGACTCAGAACTGAGACGTGGGATGGGTGGAGAGCTTGTCCTAGGTGGCAGAGCTGGTGAGAGGCAGAAGCCGCCTTGCTCATGCTCACTGACCTGCGTGCTCTGCCGGCCACCTGGGCAGTGGCCACCGAGGGAGCAGGAAAGTGGCCAAGGGCGACCTCTGGGAAGCAGCTGACTGCTTTCTGATCCTGAGGCTGAGGAACTGGAGAAGGACCTAGAACCTGCTCCAGGAAGATCCTTGAAAGGCTCATGTGGGATCAATGTTAGGCCAATGAAGGAAAGACAGGGCCAGAGGTGGGCAGGGAAGATAGGGGCTGAGCCGGTGTGCATCCTGGGAGTGAGTCCCGTGCACCGCGCAGGGCTGCAGCATTGCCTGTGCATTGTCTGGTGAACAGTAGGAGGAAATGCAGCAGTTACAGAATTCACATTTCCTCAAAAACAAGACACTTTGTCTACTGAGAATGAAAACAATGTCTGCTTCTGAGACCAGACAGAGATGTGATTTCTGTAGAAGAGAACATCTGGGCAGACAGGGGCAGGTCACTGCCAGGCCTTGGTGCTGAGGGCCGTCCCCTGGCTCAGGTGCTCAGGGCCATCTCCAGCTGAGAGTTGTGCCCTGGCCCGGGTACAGAGGGCCATCTCCAGCTAAGGGCCGTCCCCTGGCTCGGGTGCTGAGGGCTGTCTCCAGCTGAGGGAGGTCCTCTGGCCTGGGTGCTGAGGGCATTCTCCGGCTGAGGGAGGTCTCTAGGCCCATCTCTGGTATCTTCCTGAGCTCAGGGTGGGCTTGCCCACCTCAGTCTTTCCCCGGTTCCTGGGCAGCTGTGAGGTGGAGGCGTTTCTCCTTTGCAGGGAACTCCAGGGGCAGTTTCTGTGGCCAGGGGACTCCTAGAAACGTTCCTGATGGCTTCATTCAGAAATCAGACAGGTGTGTGTTTACATGGTGACTCCCTTACTGCTCCCCCATGAAAAACCCAGAATCTCCTTCTGGAGGCTTCTGTGTCGTGGGAGCAGTACCTGCTGGGGCTACGGATGGAAGCTCTGCTTGCCCCTTAGAAAAGCCCACCCATCAGAGACTGCTGACAGCACCAGTAAGTGTAGCGTTGAGGCGAGTTCTGAAGGCAGATCATAGTCACCGGAGGCCCAACAGCTGAGGAGAGCCTGGAACATTCCAAGACCATGCACTCTGACCAGAATTTCAGGAATGGCTCAAAGTTGGAAGTGCAACATGCGCTGTGTGCGTGGGTTACACAATCAAGTTTCCACATGTAATGACTTTTTTCTTCTTTTGCTGGTGTTCCTTTGGAAGCAAACAACAACAAAACAAAACCCTCAAAGTCATCATCCTCGGATTATAGCTGTGTCTAAGGCCAAGGCATGAGAAATGTATAATTATTTTTTTAGCTTTTATATAGCAACTTAAAAACTCTACCCTCCGGGATGGTCTTTCCCAACCAAATGTCAGATTTCTAAAGTGGGCAACAAATGCTGACAGGGCCACTGTTTCCACGTCTCCTGATACCATGGAAATGGCCAAAGAGCCAGAGCGTATTTAAAAAACAAATGATTTATAATGAGCTGCCAATCCTTACGTGTGATCTTGGTCAGAGGACAAAGGAGAAAGAAGCCTTTAGATGCTGAAGGAAAAAGTCTTAGTAGCCATAAAATATTATTCTGTTTCATAGGTTTTTTTTTTTTTTACATTAAAAAGCTATTTTCAAATCAATTTTAGTAAAAGCTGGTCATGGATAAGGGCCCACAGGGTTGGGATGTGCTGTAGTATAATGTGAGTGATGAAATTCAGAAATTTTCCAGGGGTCCAACCAGTGGTGGCCTTCCCAGCTTTTGTTGTCCCATGCACTGTCTCCATGTGATTTACAATTTCATTAGTGCTCAGCTCAGCCCCTCATGGAGCCCAGTGTCACAGCCTGGGGAGGACCAGGGTCTGCCAGGGCGCTACGCAGCTGCAGCCCAGCTGCCAGCAGAATGCCTGGACGACACACTGTGGGGCTGCAGGATGCCAGCCTGGGAGCCCTCAGGGAGCCCGGTGCTGTAGCCTTGGAGGGACCAGGGTTTCCCAGGCCGCTGCCCAGGTGCAGCCCAACTTCCAGCAGAGTGCCTGGGGTATGCCCCGTGGAAATGGGCAATGCCAACCTGGGAGTCTGGATCCCATGCTTTCCTCTGAACACCACAGGGAAGAAACCCATGGAAGAAGGCCTGGGGCACGATGTGGTGAACCACTGCTTCCAACGTCTCCAGAACATTCTTTTCTGACTTGTAGACGTTTCAGGCCTTTCCTGTGGCCTGGTCCTGCTGCCCAGGTCCCACGGGAATCAGTGAGTGTCTGCTCGGGAGCTGAGTGAAGGAGCAGACTTTTAAATAATATTGGCTTGATTGTTGTAGCGTGGTTTCTACCGAAAGCAAACGGAACCTTACAACGCAATTCACCAGTCACTCCTCTTACCTGAGCGAGTGCCTGGCGTTTCTAAACCTAGGATATGCTGTATGTGTGGGATAGTTGTAATCTGGGGAGAAAAACACTTTACCAAAAATAATTGCATACTTCTAAGGTTTTTTAATACCATAATAAACTTTTCTCATGGATTTGCAATCACTAAATAAAGGTAAGAAAGTATGAAATCAGGAGGCAGAGTTGGCTTTATGCATCAAATGATGTTTTAGCTTTTCTAAATGAGGTGGTCTCACTTTTCTTTATTATTCATCTAGTTTTAAACATTTATTTATTTTGATTGAAAAGGTAGATTTTACAAATAGAAGGAGAGACAAAAATCCACTGGTTAACTCCCTAAGTGACCACAACAGCCAGAGCTGAGCCAATCCGAAGCCAGGAGCCAGGAGCCAGAAGCTTAGTCTGGATCTCATGCAGGATGCAGGGTCCCTGCAGGGCGCTGGAGGGGAAGTGGAGCAGCCAGAACACAAACTGGTGCCCATACTGAATCCAAGCACTTGCAAGGGAAGGATTAGCCAGCTGAGCCATTGTGCTGCCAGGAGATCACCTCACTTTTGACACTAAACCCTGCTAGGTGTTTCTCAGCAAAACTATTTGGAAAGATTAATGTTATGTTGTGTATTAGCTTGCCCCATTCTGTGAATGAAGCAGATTTGATCTTTGTCATCTTAAGCTCATGTATTTTATCGCTATAGTTGTGCTTTTAAAAATGTGTTACTTCATGCCTTTAAAAATATTTAAAATGTGAACTACATACAGAGTACTGCAAATGGTTAAAAACAAAGTTAATGTGAAAATATTATAACCTAAAATAATTCTTCAGGTCATAAATGTTGTAGCTTGATATGCCTTTGATTTAGTGGGGACACTTTTAGGATACTCGGTAACAGCATTTGAAGAGCTTGGACATACAAAATTCTGCTTACTTAGTCATTTTTTTAAAAAAGTAAAAACAATAGAAACCAAAATGCACATACAGAATAACAGTATTTTTAAGAATAACTTAATTTTACCCCTGAAAAAACATTGGGAAATAAATGCTCTAAACCCCTCTGGTCCCTTATATAGAATCAGCCTCCCTAGCCTAGGAGGCAGCACCAGATTCTTATGAGATCATCCAGGCCTGCTAAAATCTTGGCCACACCTTTAAGTGGTTGGCGCAGTAACTGTCCAGCCAGTTTCTATCTAGTGGAGGGACCACCAGTGGGGAACATCATCCCCGCAGCTTCCCACCCAGACAAGGAGGGATCGGGGAATGCTTAAGATCTCAAGATCCTTACACAACCTCAGGGTCTCCTCCTCTGTCCTTTCAGAAAGCATCCTCTCTCCCTCCTCTTTCTACGTTCACCTGGCCACTTTGTGAATAAAACTTCTCTGTAACCAATTCCTGGCTTTTTATTTCTATACTACGCCGAGGAAAGATCCCATTGAGCTCTTGTGGGACATTTTCAGGACTGCTCCCCCAGGTTGTCCCTGGCCTGGCACTGTCCCTCCTGACCACACAGTGAGTCTCACCTGGCACCGCCTGTCACTGTGTTATGCCCTGGAGCTCTCTTCTGACGCAGTGATGTGGTACTTCACACTTAGGTCTGTGATCCCCATGTCCAAGACGTGATTTCTCTCTCCCCTTCCTTCCTTCCTTCCTTCCTTCCTTCCTTCCTTCCTTCCTTCCTTCCTTCCTTCCTTCCTTCCTTCCTTCCTTTCTTTCTTTCTTTCTTTCTTTCTTTCTTTCTTTCTTTCTTTCTTTCTTTCTTTCTCTCTCTCTCTCTCTCTCTCTCTTTCTTATTGGAAAGGTGGATTTTACAGAGAGGAGAGACAGAAGGATTTTCCATTTGCTGGTTCTCTCTCCACATGCCTGCACTGCCTGGAGCCAAGCTGATCCAAAGCCAGGAGCCAGAGGCTGCGTCTGGGTTTCCATGTGCATGAGAGCAGGGTCCCAAGGCTTTGGCCCATCCTCAACTGCTTTCCAGGCCACAAGCAGGGAACTGGATGGGAAGTGGAGCAGTTGCGACATGAACCAGTGCCCATTTGGGATCCCAGCATATGCAAGACAATAATTTAATCACAGAACTGTCATGTTGGGCCCCCCTCTCAACTAGATTTCTGTGGGTGCACGCATGTTGTGTGTGTGTGTGTGTGTATGCATGTTCTGTGGTGCACAATTTTTCTGCATGTAACCATTGCTCAGTAAAAATTTATCTTTCAGCTCATACACAGAGTTGGGAGATGTTTCCTGCAAATGGGAAATGAAAATGCTATCATTTTTTTTTTTTCATGAAAATGTTCTAAAGGGATGATTTTGAGAGGAAGTGAGAAGCATTTGTTCTGTCATGTTAGGATCCTTTTAAACGCCGGTCTTTTTGTTCATCTGTGCACCTGTTAATGGGAAGTGTTTTACAAATATTCCTGCAGTAGTAAAGAATCAGACAGATGCAGGGTATGTTTCAGATGAAAGCTTGTCTTGCATCTCAATGTATATCTCTCCCCTTTAACACTGAAGATGCAGCCGCTGTTGTGTGTAATGATACAAGAGTTGATTCTTCAAGTCCAAGTCAATGAACTCATTATTGAGTCCCTGAGAGCTTGTGGGAATTTCCAAGCTACAGGATAAAACATCCACCCGCTCATGCTCTGAGCAGTACACAATACAACATTCATGATACTATTTACATTTTTAGAGTTGTGTTTCCTTCTAGTTCAAATAATTTTTTTTTAATATTGACTTTGTATCCTGCAACTTTGTTAAACTGTTAAGTTTAGTAGTTGTTTAAATATTCCACCAGATTGGCTAAACTCTTCTGAGATTAAAGACAGACTTTCTTTCCATTCGGATGCCTTTTCTTTATTTATATTTTGCCCCATTTGCACTAGCTGACCTGTAAGTGCTATGCTGAATAAAGGGGGTGCCTAGGTATTTTTGTCTAGTTCAGGTCTCTGGAGGAAAGTGCTAAGTTTTGCACAATAAAATGTGTCAAAATTAAATATACTGACAAGGAGGCAAGGAGGGAGACTGGGAGAGTGTGCTCCCATCTGCCAGCCACTCCTCTCCTTGGTGTCCACAGTGGCTGGGGTTGGCCATGACCTAGGCTGGAGGTGGGGAACTCAGTGTGTCTTCCACATGGATGGCAGGGATCCAGTTACCGGAGGCATCACCACTGCCTGCCCAGGTTCAAATTCACAGGGAGTTAGTGAGGAAATGGATGCCAGAATTGGACCCGGACTCTCCTGGTGTGGGGCCGAGCTCTGCCCACGGTTAACGCCTGCCCTGTCTTTTGTTAGATGTTCTTTACCAGATCCAGGAAGTTCTCCTCTGCCCCAGTTTGCTGAGTTTTTTGTTAGATTTTATCAGCTGTTTTTCTGCACCTGTTAAGATGCTCAGATGTTTTACAGTTTTGCTATTTTAGTTTACACTATCTGTGTTTTTTTTTTTTTTTGTTAAAATCTGTTCATTTTTCCTATCTGTCAGATATATTTCATTGGGGATGGCCTTTTGAAAAGGGGGTTTCACAGTGATTTAATCACTGTTCTCTCTCTCTTTTTTCTCTCCTGGCTAGTGAATGAGAGCTGCAAGTCTGAATTTATAGATCTAAGGAAATGGCTGAAAGAAAGGAATTTTGAAGATAGGAACTTAGCACCGGCTCACTTTCCAGGTAAAATCTGGTGTTCAGCTCTCCGACCCTCGTGTAAGGGGTGTGGGAAAAGCAGGGGTGGTGCTGTGGGATGGCTGTGTTTCCCTGGAGGGTACTTTGGTAACTGTGTGCAGGGTTTCCTACCTTGTAGTTACACTGTTTTTATTTTCACTATTTTGTATTTGACCTTGAAAAAAATAACTGAAAATGGATTACAAAAAGAAGTGATAAACTGATGAAGCACATGTTAAAAGGAGACTGAGGATATAGAAGTGTGATGGAGCCAAGCTAAGGATAACGGTGAATGCGGCCGCTGGCCCTAGCTCTTGGGTTGTGCATACAAAACTTTGTTGATGTACTCATGGGAAGTGCAGATGTTCCTGGGACCTTGGCCGGACAGAGCGGTCCTGTGGGATGCTCACGGGAACCACACTGTATCACCTGACCGTCTGTCCGCTCTTAACACCTCTGCTGGCTTCGTGGGATTTTTCACATCATCTGGGCTGATGGAATTATCCCACAGCTCTGGTGGCCTGAGGGAGAGAGAGGTTGCACTGCAGCCATGGGAAGTGCTGGTGCTGCTCCGTGTGGCTGGAGGACAGGGCCTGAGAATGGCCTTGCCTTTGTTGTGGCTGTGCTTGCAAGCATTGGCCAAGGTATACTCTCCCTGGTCAGTTAATGACTGACCTTCAGGCATCGATGTCACCTGAGCTGAGAGAGGGTCATTCTTTTCTGGAAATCAGAGGGCTTCTTTTGGGAGGTTAGATTCGCATTTTCTGGCACATTCCCACGTAGAGGTTGGCCAGCTGGTCACAGCTGTGTGCATCTATTCAAGGCCATCCCACTCTGCCAACAGTGGGATGCTCTTCTGGTTGTTTTAACTTTGGGCAAATTCACTTTCTTATGTAGTGAAGGGACTCCCCACGTGTGCCCCTGGTTGAGTGAGGTAGCCAGCTCCTTCACAGTGAATCAGTTACACATGCTAACTTGGGGCTGAAGAGCTGAATTTTAAACTGGAAGTGCGAGCTCTGGGACGAGAAGGTGTGACGGTGTGGTTGGATTTACCCTTCATCCCCCTTTGCTTTCCTAGGCACGGGAAGGGGCCTGATGAGTACAGCTGGCTTGCAGGTGAGCTCCTCCCTCTTTCCCCCGACCCAACACAGACCCTGCGGCTTTGTTTTTGTAGTTGCCATTGAGTGCACTGAGCATGTCTTACACTCACAGGCGTTTCTGGCCTCCCTAATGGGTATATTCGATTACAAGTCTGCCAGCTAGAGTGAAGTTTGCTGCAAACCCAAGGTCACGGTGTTCCAGCAGTGCACACCAGCCTGGAGGAAGCAGTCTGGAACCTGTGGTGTGGTCACTGAACCATCCAAGACCCACGCTCCTACCACCTGTCTGTCTTGTCCCCTCTCCGCTGCGGGCATGGCTCTTGGCGCTTGAGCAGCAGGCAGGAGTAAGTGGTGAGGAAGACAGGCTCCCGCATTGAGGGCATCCCAGCCCCCAACTGATTAGCCAGTGGCTCCAGCAAGCTTCAAGCACGGGGAGGCTACACGGTTCTCGCCCTGACATCGTCCTATCTGAATAGGATTCTGAGAGTGAGGTCAGGAGAGGGGGCATGTGGGCAGGCCCCCCACATTCTGCACAGCCGGCTGTGGTACAGCTGGGCCAGTGGAGCTGCTCTCCTGGGAGGGCTGTGAGCACGGTCCTGCCTCCTGCTCTCCGTGGGACCCAGAGCAGCATTGGGATGCTCGCAGCCTTTCTTCCCCGCCTCACAAAGATGCAGATGTGGCATGGTGCCGGCTAGTTCTCCCTGCGCCATTTTAAGGGACATGCAGTGTACTTTTCTGTGAGGCAAGTGATTTATTGTTTCTTTTATTTTAAAATTACTTTTTCCTTTAAACTTACTATTATTATTTTTTTTAAAGATTTATTTTTATTATTTTTTCATTGGAAAGGTGGATATACAGAGAGGAGAGACAGAGAGGAAGGTCTTCCGTCCGATGATTCACTCCCCAAGTGAGCGCAACGGGCCGATACTATGCCGATCCGAAGCCAGGAGCCTCTTCTGGGTCTCCCACGCGGGTGCAGGGTCCCAAAGCTTTGGGCCGTCCTCGACTGCTTTCCCAGGCCACAGGCAGGGAGCTGGAAGGGAAGCGGGGCTGCCGGGATTAGAACCGGCGCCCATATGGGATCCCGGGTGTGCAAGGCGAGGACCTTTAACCACTTGCACCACCGCACCGGGCCCTAAACTTATTATTTTTAAAGATTTATTTTTATTGGAAAGGCAGATTTACGAAGAGAAGGAGAAACCGAGAGGAAGATCTTCCATTTGCTGGTTCACTCCCCAAGTAGTTGCAACAGCCAGAGCTGAGCTCATCCAAAGCCAGGAGCCAGGAGCCTCCTCCAGGTCTCCCACATGAGTGCAGGGTCCTGCTTTCCCAGGCCACAAGCAGGGATCTGAGAGAGAAGTAGAGCAGCCGGGATGTGAACTGATGCCCATATGAGATCCCAGCACATGCAAAATGGGACTTTAGCCACTAGGCTACTGTGCCAGGTCCCACTTTTTTCTTTTTAAAGTAAAAATTAATTTTTACTCTAAAATTGCTCGTTTCTGATTACATACTTTATTTAAACTCAGCTATGTGTATGTGTTTAGCCTAAAGAGTGGCATATTTTTTTCTTTTTTTTTTTTTAAAGATTTATTTTTATTATTATTTTTTTTATTGGAAAGGCAGATATACAGAGGAGAGACAGAGAGGAAGATCTTCCGTCCGAGGATTCACTCCCCAAGTGAGCGCAATGGCCGATACTATGCCGATCCGAAGCCAGGAGCCTCTTCTGGGTCTCCCACGTGGGTGCAGGGTCCCAAAGCCTTGGGCCGTCCTCGACTGCTTTCCCAGGTCACAGGCAGGGAGCTGGAAGGGAAGTGGAGCCGCCGGGATTAGAACCGGTGCCCATATGGGATCCCGGGCGTGCAAGGCGAGGACATTTAACCACTTGCGCCACCGCGCCGGGCCCAAGAGTGGCATATTTTAATGTAATTCTGTTATGCTATTTTTATTTACAAAAGTTTTAATTTGTAAAATATAAACAAGAATACTTTAAGAAATTCACAGAAAGCTTGAAGTAGAAATGAGTTATTTTAGTGCAGAAAAATTTGAAGTCTATGCATAGATTTTTCATAATACAAAACCCATACAGCTCGGTCCCTCCCAAGCTGCTCATCCTGCTCGTTGCTTCCCTCTTGCCTAGGAGGGGAGGATGCTCATATCACTGCCTGAGCGCTGCCTGCTCACCACGGACACGGTGATGCGAAGTTACTTGGGGGCGTACATCACCAAGTAAGTCACTGACCGCCGCGCGCTCATGCATTCTGGCGGGAATGATTAGGGCCCAGCTTCGTGTCTAGCCAAGAATGACCTGAAATGGACTGGACGCTTGACTCTGTTCCAGGAAGTTTGTTCTTAATTCATTGTAAACTGCATCAAAATAAAATAGTTTATATGACAGAGAGGGTGATGGTGAGGGAGAGATGTGGGTGGTATGGACCCAAGACCTGGAGCCATCTCCTGCTGCCCCCCAGGGTGTGTGAGCAGAAATCGGGAAAGGGGCGGAGCGAGGGCAGTAACCAACGTGTCCCAGTGTGGGTGGGCGGCCCCCACTGTCTTCACCGTGTGTTGAATGTGTGCTTCTGTAAGCTCTGTCTTAAGATTCCTCATAGGCTGCCGGGGTGAGTGTGACTTCTGATCAATCACTTTGTGAAAAATGAGGAGTTATTGGGTAATATACGTAAGTCACAGCCGAGTCCCATGACTCCCAGTGCTGCTCCGTCGTGCTAGGTCCGTTTGGGTTCTTCAGTTAGGGAGAGCTGTTAGCGTGATGAGAGCATGCGTTACAGCTAGGATGGAAGAGAGGAGGCCGGTGCGCGAGCTGTGCTGGACACCTCTGAGGACAGAGAGACTGAGCCTCAGCAGCTTTCCAAGTCTGGAGGGGCAGCGGATTGTGCTGTTTCTCTAACCAAGGGGCGTCCGGGCTTCCCCGACCCAGCATGGCTCTAGAAGAGCTTTTCAGGCCTCAGTGGAGGCAGGTGTGCTCTTGATAGTAGCGTCCTTGGACTTATTCTGAAACTTTGAGTTACGTATGTGGCACTATAGGGATTTGGACTTTAAAAGATGAATGAGGGCCCAGTGCAGTGGCCTAGCAGCTAAAGTTCTCACCTTGCATGCACTGGTATCCCATGTGGGCACCAGTTCTAAACCTGACAGCTTCGCTTCCCATCCAGCTCCCTGCTTGTGGCCTGGGAAAGCAGTTGAGGACAGCCCAAAGCCTGGGACCCTGCACCCATATGGGAGTTCTGGAAGAGGCTCCTGGCTCCTAGTTTTGGATTGGGTCAGCTCCGGCTGTCGCAGCCGCTTGGAGAGTGAATAAGCAGACAAAAGATCTTCCTCTCTCTGTCTCTCCTCCTCTCTATATATCTGACTTTCCAATAAAAATGAAATGAATATTAAAAAATGAACAAAAACCTTTTAAAAATACATTCATGCAACGTGAGATGTTTTTATTGGTAGTTATATGAAGCTAAAATATTTCTAATATATAATTTGTCAAAGAGTAGTTGAGTTTAGGAGCAAATGCTTTGGAACAGTAAGAAGCATAAAATAAGCATATTCAAGTTTCCATTTTCCCTTTAGGTCAGTGTCATCTTGAGAACATACTGTAATAGCAGATGTTCAACTCTGCATTGTCCAGTGGGACAGCCAGTAGGCATGGTGACTGTCGGCTCCCGACTGGCTTGTCTGACTGAGCAACGGAGTTGTGGATACTGCAGGCAGCCTCTGAGCCCACAGCACCAGGCTTGTGGATTCAGCCAACTGCAGGTTGAAAATATTTGGAAAAAGGAAGTGGTCATTGTCTCTATGGAACACGTACTGTGGTCCCCTGGTTGTTAGCGGTCAGCCACACACTGGAGGCACTGTTTACCCAGCACTTCCGTTGTCATACCCCAGAGGGGACTCTGAGCACATGACAGCGTGTACCAGGGTGAGTGCCTTTGCTCCAAGGGACTGGCACCAGTTCCCTGCAGATGTTGAGGGCCCAGCAGGTTTAATTCTAAATCACTGATACTGTAATTTAAATAGCTCTGTCTACGAAACAAATCGCTTAGCTTGTCCTGAATTCTGAGTAGAAGTAATTCTTTTACTGACTTTTATCCTTGAAGGTGGAAGCCGCCGCCGTCTCCCGTGCTGGCTCTGTGCACGTTTTTAGTTTCAGAAAAGCACGCCGGGGACCGGTCTCCGTGGAAGCCGTACCTGGATGTTTTGCCCGAGTCCTACACCTGCCCCGTTTGTTTGGAGCCTGAAGTGCTGGATCTGCTGCCCCGACCCTTACAAGCGAAGGCCGAAGAGCAGAGGGCTCGCGTGCGGGAGTTTTTTGCTTCCTCCAGAACCTTCTTCTCTTCCCTGCAGCCTCTGTTTGCAGCGCCCGTGGACAGCATCTTCAGCTACAGCGCCCTCCTGTGGGCCTGGTGCACCGTCAACACCAGAGCCGTGTACCTGAGACGCGGGCAGCGGGAGGGCCTGTCCGCCGAGCCTGACACCTGTGCCCTTGCTCCATTCCTGGACTTGCTGAACCATAGCCCGCACGCCCAGGTGAGACGCTGACGAGGGGCCCCCGGTTCTGTTTGGATAGGCACGATAGCAGTGTGCAGCACCCGTGACTTTGGGTGCTGAGGGAACCCCGGGGAGGGGCAGAGCTGGCTGCAGGCGAGCCTTCGGGCTGCTGGCAGGTGTGTGCTCGGCTTGTCTGTCAAGCCCAGTGTTGCCCTGGGCACGCTTTCTGCTTTGCCCCGTTTCCTGCCTGGCAGTCCTGGCCTGACCGGCAGAGCCCTGAGCTGTCTTCCCTGCTTCTCCCAGCAGCCCTCGCCTGCCTGGGCTGTGGTCTGTTCCCCCTTCCTCCTTGCAGACTGGGGCTGAGCTCAGGGTAACTGTCCCAGGCCACCCCATTTTCACGTGTCACGGCTGTCGGGTTGTTCAGTGTGTTGCTTCCTACACTGGGCTCTGAAATGTTTGAGGACAGAGTCTTTTAGAGACTTCAAGGCCGGGACCACCGCATGTGGCTGTTGGGTGAATGTTTACTGAACCCGTAAGTGTGGGGAGAAGCCCCAGAGGTCGCCAAAGAAGCCTGCTTTGAGGAGGCCAGTGTTGTGGTATAGTGGGTGCAGCCGCCACCTCGGATACTGGCATGGCTGATGGGCATTTATCCAAGTCCCAGCTGCTCCATTTCTTTTTTTTTAATATTTATGTTTTATTTTTATTGGAAAGGCGGATATACAGAGGGAGACACAGAGAGGAAGATCTTCCGTCTGATGATTCACTCCCCAGGCGGCCGCAATGGCTGGAGCTGAGCCAATCTGAAGCCAGGAGCCTCTTCCGGGTCTCCCACGCGGGTTCAGGGTCCCAAGGCTTTGGGCCGTCCTCGACTGCTTTCCCAGGCCACAGGCAGGGGGCTGGATGGGAAGCGAAGCTGTCAGGATTAGAACCGGTGCCCATGTGGGATCCCGGGCGTGCAAGGCGAGGACCTTAACCACTGCGCCACCGCGCTGGGCCCTGCTCCATTTCTTTTTAAAAACCAATTAATAAATTTATTTGGAAGAGTTACAGAGAAGAGATAGGTTGTGGGGGGAGGTAGGAATATGTATTTATACGCATATATGCACACACATATGCTGTGTCCTCTTCCGGGTGTGTGTGACTTGTCGAGGGGCTCGTCTGCCCAGTGTCATGTGTGCTGAATTGAGCTGTCTGGGCACCCCAGGGCGCGACCCCTCCCACCAAGGGGTTATGCTCAGGTCCACAAAGTAGGCTCAAGTGCAAGAGCGACGTTTTCCACATGTGTTTATAAACCCATGGATGAGTGTGTGTAGAACCTGACCCCCAAGTAATGTGGTGACCCAATCAGTTTGTTTAGTTTTATGTTTTAAAAAGAAACATTCAGCAATTTTTCATTTCTAGGTAGAAGCAGGATTTAATGAGGAGACTCGTTGTTATGAAATCAGAACGGCTTCAAGGTGTAGAAGGTACGAAGAGGTTTTCATCTGCTACGGCCCGCATGACAACCAGCGGCTGCTCCTGGAGTACGGATTCGTTTCTGTCCCTAACCCTCACGCTTGCGTTTATGTCTCAACAGGTTGGAATCCATTTTATTCTTCCTGTTAAGGTGTTGTAGCTTTGATTCCCTCTGGAGATGTGGGTATTTTCAGTTTTAATAACAGGAGCACCTTAAATCACATGCACATTATTTAATTTTGGATGGGTGTGGTCCTGATTGTGGAAAAGCCACGGAGCGTGGGCTGACACCGAGGGTCTCGCTTAGTGGTTAGAGGCCAGTGTGCTGTGTTGGAATATCTGCATGTGAGCCCTATGGCTCCTGGCTGCGACTCTGTGCTAGTGCAGACCCTGTAGGCAGCGTGCTGACTCACATAATTGGGTTTCTGCCACTCCTGCGGGAGGCCTGGATTGGGTGCCCGGCTCCCAGCTGGCAGACACGGGCATCTGGGGAGTGAACAGGGGCTAGAATCTCACCCTCTGTCTGGGTGCCCGGCTCCCAGCTGGCGGACATGGGCATCTGGGGAGTGAACAGGGGCTGGAATCTTGCCCTCTGTCTTTCTGTCACTCTGCCTTTCAAATAAAACCTTTGTATAAGAACCAAGGAAAGTTCTACTGTATTTGGCCAGAAGATAGAATGGAAAAAAGGAAGGCTGCTGGACAAATAAGGATATTGACAGAGAAAAGGAAATGGAAATTGTTGCTCTTCCTGAGCAGAGAACAGAATTCAGGAGCAAATGAATAAAACGTACTAAGCACCTATCTCATGTAGAGAAGTCTGTTAAATTGTCCTTGCTTGTAGAGCAAAATGCCATGAGATACTGATTTCATTATTCTGTGATGAATATTTTTTTTAAGCATTATTTACATTACTCTAAAAATAATAGCTTAGCCATTAATTTTCTGCTTGAAACTATAGTATTAAAAATGGACTGTTCTCCTCTGGAAGCAGCAGAGAAGTAGTTTTCTAGGCCATGAAGCAGCGGTGGAGGGTGGGGTGGGCACTGGGGCACAGTGGTTAAGCTGCTGCTTGGGGTACCTGTTATGGTCCTTGCCAGGAGCCTAGGTTCATGTCCCAGTCTACTGCCACCTGGTGGCTTCCTGATGATGTGCGTCCTGGAAGGCAGCCTGGGACAGCTCAGGTGCTGGCACCTAGGGGAGACCTGGGTTGGGTTCTGGATTCCTGGCGTCACCTTGGTCCTGCAGAGTTGTTGTAAACATTTGGGAGTGAATAAATGCATAGACAATCTCTTTTCTTCTCTTTCTGCCTTTTAAATAAAGTAGAAAGAAAATGATTTTTGAATGGACAAGGATTTACCAGTATATACTCTGTTTTTAATACAAATGTGGATGGTAGTAGAAACTTATTACTGTATCCTATAGGCATAAAAATGATAATGGTTAAAAAGTGGAAAACAGATTTTGAAACCTTCAAGATGTCTTAGCTTTGCTATTTCTATTCCGGATAACTTTAATGCTGGTGGCTTTGAAAAGCTTAGTTTGTCAAATTAATTTAATTATATTTTAGTAATATTTTAAAAATAAAATGAAAAAAAATCACTCACTGTTCTGCTGCACAGAATAGCTTTGTATGATTTCACTTGGATTTTTGTAATTGTAAATCACCGTTGCCCAGGAATTTTGGATTCTGGCTTTCAAAGCCCAGTATTGCAAACTCCTCCTCAGAGTGTCGCGCAGCCCGTACTTCAGATGGACTTTCCCAGCAGTTGTCCTAACGTGTCCTTGAGGATTTGCTCAGTGGGAGTGGGAGGTTGTGCATGTTTGTCTGCTAGCCCGAGAATTCCTGCTGCCCTGGAAGACTGGTTGATGACCCCTGTGGACTAGATGGCAGGACAGGCCTCTGTGGGACGTGAGGAAGCTGTACGTGTCGTGGACGCCGAAGGGAGGGCACAGTGCTGAGAAGGAAGGCACGCTGCGAATTCCACCTAAATTCATCTGATGTGATTTTTACCTTTTTTTGAATTTCAGAAATACTTGTTAAATATCTTCCATCAACCGATAAACAGCTAAACAAAAAGATTTCCATTTTAAGGGACCATGGCTTTATTGAGTAAGTGTTACCTTCTCTTTTAAAATCATTGCTTCAGAAACTTTCATGAGTTAAAAAAAAATGATGGCAGCAGTTTTTGTATTCCACATGTAGCCGCCTGCTGCTTTTGGCTGAGCTGACAGGGGGCTGTTATGGGAGCTTGCCGTGACAGGTGCACACAGGGTCCACTGCACGTTTTGAAGCCTTGCCTTTGGGACCTGAGATGCAAGCCTGACATTCCATGTCATCATTTACCTTGTAAACTAAAGCATGTCCCCTCTGTCGTGGCCCCTTCATCCATGTCCATCTTCTTAATAAAACTGATTGGCAAATAGCTTATACTTTAATTTAAACAAAGTTAGTAGCACAGAGGATTTTTAGTTATTTGGGCTTTATTCTCTTGCAGTTTCAGGCTCCCCTTGGCCTTTGATTGTTCCAGCCAAGATTGCAGCTACATAGTGGTTAGCAGCTCGTTTCGGGGACGCTGGCCCTGCAGCATGGCACGGGCTCGGGCAGCACTGGAGTGACGGATCTGTCCGCTTTGGTTTTCCCGCTTTAGAGATCTGACGTTCGGTTGGGATGGACCGTCTTGGAGGTTGCTCACAGCTCTCAAGTTGTTATGTCTGGAACCTGAAAAATTGTAAGTTGCATGCATGTTGGTCTTAGGTGTGGGTACAGTCTGGCCAGGGCCTTTGAGTATTTTTGCTTGTACTCAAACACCAACCAGAGAAGAACGAAGAATGGTGGTGGTGTTGCAGCTGCGTTTTTATCACGTAGCCCGCACGTGCACTGTATGTTTTACCTCTAAGTTTTAGATGTTCTTGGAATTCTGGCTTTGGAGTCAGCGTCAGAGTGTGCGGTGGTTAGGATTTTCCAGTGCTCCTCAGGCATTTGCCCTCCTGGCTTTGGCGTCTGGGGAGTGATCCAGCAGCTAGGTCTTGGTCTCTGTCTCTCCCTCTCTTACTGTAACTCTGTCTTTCACATACATGAATGTGTCTTTCAAGAAGAGGATTTTCCAGTCTCCTCATATACTGCCCTCTCTGTGGCCCAGTGCCTGTTGTTCAGAGTGAATACTGGCACCCAGTGGGCACAGGTGCTGTCAGGTGTCTCTGATGGGTGGGCTTCTCCAGGAGCGAGCAGAGCTTCCCTCCATGACCCCAGCAGACACTACCCTGGGACAGACACAGAAGCTTCCAGGAGACACTAGGTTTTTCCACGGGGGCGACATGTAGGGGAACCTCCCAGAGGTCGCCCTTGGCCACTTTCCTGCTCCCTCGGTGGCCACTGCCCAGGTGGCCGGCAGAGCACGCAGGTCAGTGAGCATGAGCAAGGCGGCTTCTGCCTCTCACCAGCTCTGCCACCTAGGACAAGCTCTCCACCCATCCCACGTCTCAGTTCTGAGTCCTCCTGGGGGAATAACGCTTTCTTTGCCCCCTTGCTCTGAAGATTCAGCTAGAGACGTTGTTCCTGGTGCGGAGTAATGGTGGTTACTTTCCTGAAAGCCCATGTCACTGAGTTCTCAGGCGTCCTGTGTGGAGGAGGGGCCTTCCCCGCGTGTCTCGTGCTGCGGAGCTTTTCCTGCTGGCACCCGTGTCCTCCAGCTGCAGGAAGCAGCAGCCGCCGCCGCCTTGTCTCTTCCCTCTGCAGGACGTGCAGACTGTGCAGAACCTGTCTCCCTCTCGGGCTCCCTGACTAGTGCTTCCTCCTGCTGTGTAGACGGCTCTGCCTGCTCTGGCTCAGCAGGCTGCCTTGGTCGTGCTGGGTATTCGCTGGCTGCCCGCTGAGCCCTCCTTCTTAGACAGCTGCACGGCCAGAAGGGGCATGAGCTGTCTCTCGGGGAAGGGCTGGGCTGTGCTCGTCCTCCCACACACAGATCTCACTACACCGTGCAGCGTGTTCCATGCTGCCAGCGTTCAGTTCTTGCACTTGAAGGAGAACTTCTTGCCCTTCCTCCTGAGTCCGCTGAGCGCTTGTCTGTGAGAGGATCTTCTGTTTCATCTTGCTCTGTTGGAGGGCTCCTGGATCTGACTCCACCTGCGTGCCAAAGCCAGGGTTGTGATGATCATACAGTCCATCCCTGTGGTAGACACTTTGGCCTGGCGTTTGGATGCCTGCCTCCTGTATCCGAGTGCCTGTTGGAGTCTGCTCCAGCTTCCTGCTTGCTGTCAGTGCCTGCCCTGGCAGGCAGCAGGTCCTGGCTCAGCTCATGGGCTCTGGACTCACAGGGAGACCTGGACTGAGTTCCTGCTATGGCTGCTGGAGGGACTTGGCCGGGTGAACCGTTGGATGGGGCATACCTGTGTCTCGTTTGTTATCTCTGCCTTTCAAAGGGATACATGAATAAACAGGGCACTGATGTGGCTCTCTTAGTTTAAAAAATAAAGTTTTTTTTTTTTTTATTAGAAAGTCAGATTTACAGACAGAAAGACAGACAGAGAGAAAGATCTTTCATCCGTTGGTTCACTCCCCAGAGCTGAGCCGATCGGAAGCCAGGTGTCAGGAGCTTCCTTTGAAACTCCTGCATGGGTGCAGGGTCCCAAGGCTTTGGGCCGTCCTCTACTGCCTTCCCAGGCCACGAGCAGGGAGCTGGATGGGAAGTGGAGCTGCCGAGAAATGAACTGGTGCCCATGTGGATTCCGGTGCATGCAAGGCGAGGACTTTAGCCACTAGGCTCCTCTCCAGGCCCAGCTCTCTTAGCTTAAAGAGGAACAGAGTCAGTGCCTTTGTGCATCTAGCTTCCAGTCTGCTTGTTTTCTTTCTTTCTTTCTTTCTTTCTTTCTTTCTTTCTTTCTTTCTTTCTTTCTTTCTTTCTTTCTTTCTTTCTTTCTTTCTTTCTTTCTTTTTAAGATTTATTTTATTTTTATTACAAAGTCGGATATACAGAGAGGAGGAGAGATAGAGAGGAAGTGGAGCTGCCGGGATTAGAACTGACGACCATATGGGATCCCAGTGCATTCAAGGCGAGGACCTTAGCCACTAGGCCACACCGCCGGGCCTCAGTCTGCTTGTTTTCAATGCCCAGTCCCCTGATTCTTGCTGTCCTGTTCATGGTCACTCAGGAACTGCAGGTGGGTGGTGAGTCAGGGCCTCTTCTGCTGGAATGACTTTCTGGGCCTCAGGGGACAGGAGCAGAGTTCGTGTGCTGTTTTGATTTGTGCATGCTTTCTTGCTTTCTAAGAGTCCACTGAGAGTTTCTCCTGGGGCTTTTTCTAGTATGTGCTGGAAGAAGATACTGCTTGGAGAAGTCATTTCAGATACAAATGAGAAGGCGAGTTTGGATATAACCCGGCGGATATGCTGTGACTTCATAGAGGAGACTTCCGCTGTGCTTCAGAAGGTAGAGGTTTTCTTTTTTTTTTTTTTAGATTTGTTTATTTTTATTACAAAGTCAGATATATATAGAGAGGAGGAGAGACAGAGAGAAAGATCTTCCATCCAAATGACTGCAGTGGCCGGTGCTGCACTGATCCGAAGCCAGGAGCCCATATCCTATCTGGGTCTCTCACACGGGTGCAGGGTCTCAAGGCTTTGGGCAGTCCTATACTGTTTCCCAGGTCACAAGCAGGGAGCTGGATGGGAAGTGGGGCCACTGGGATTAGGACCGGGGCCCATATGGGATCCTGGCGCGTTCAAGGTGAGGACTTTAACTGGTACGCTATCACGCCAGGCCCCAAGGTATAGTTTTGAATGTCACCTTTTTTTTTTTGGTAAAGATTAGTTTTGCTTTAGAAATGATTGGTTTTGGGGTCTGCACCATGGCTAAGCCTCTGCCTGCAGCACTGACATCCTGTATGGGCCCCATTTGTGTCCCAGCTTATGGCCTGAGAAAGCAGCAGAGCATGGCTCAAGTGTTTTGGCTCCGACACTCATATGGGAGACCTGTAGGAAGCTCCTGGCTCCTGGCTTCAGATCTAGTTACAGCTGCTGTGGCTATCTGGGGAGTCAAACAGTGGGTGGGAGATCTCTCTGTTTCTTCTCTCTGTAACTCTTCTTTTCAAGTAAAAATAAATCCTAAAGAAGTTTTTTTTTTTTCATAAAATTACTCATAATAAGAATACTTTTGTGTCTTAAGTAAATGATGTAGTCATTTTCATTTTATGTGAAAGACAAAGAGAAAAAGAGAGCTCTCGTCTGCTGGTTTATTCTCCGTGTGCCTGCAGCAGCCAGGACTGAGTCAGGGAAGCCACACGCCTGGCGCTCTCCTGGGTCTGCTGTGTGGTGATGGGCCCAGGCACTCGAAGGCGTCTGCCTCGTCCCAAGCTGCATGGCAGGAGGAAGCTGGGTGGGAAGCACAGTGGCCAGTTCTCCAAGCAGGCCCTCTGTAATGGGATCAGGGCATCCAGGTGGCCTCAGGGCTGTGTCCAGTGCCTGTTCCTGTTCTTTATTTTTGGAAAGAAAAATTAATATGTACAGAATGATGTTTTGGTATGTGTATGCATTATGGAATGGCTCAGCCACATCTGTATTTTGTTATGGTGAGAACATTTCAACTGCTCTTTTAGCAACTTTCAAGTACACGTTATTGTTAGACGTGGTCTTCATGGTGTGCAGTGATCTACCGCAAACCTCCCCTTTATGTGCAAGAGCTGTGAGTCCTCTGTGTGCTGCCAGTGCCCGCGCCTGCAGCCTGCCGTCACCCTGTCTGCGCTCCGCTCCACAGCGTAGCCTTCCTTCATTGCAGAGAGGTCGTTGGCATCTGTCCTTCTGTGCCTGGCGTCCTCCAGGCTTACGCTGGTGCCTGTGGCAGGGTCCCCTTCTCTTCACGGCCATCCCCATACTGCGCCTTCTTGACCCGCTCACCTGGTGACACTGCACGTTCTTGACCCGCTCACCTGGTGATGGGACCTAGGTTGGCTCCTTGTCTTTGCCTGAACGGGGTTTGCTATTTGCACTTAGTAATTGTATAGATTTATAGGGCTTCCTTAATAGTTAAAGATTACTGTGTAACTTCTTGATAATAGATTTTCAAGTATGTTTTTTCTCTTTTTTTTCTTAATTTAATAAATGTTCCAATTAATAGAGAAATCAACTGTGTATGTAAAGCATGAGTGGTGTTAAGGAAGTAATTTTAATGACTGAGGACATCATGCTCAGTTAGACACAGAAGGACAAACGCTGCGTGAGGGTCCCTGGTCGCTGTGGGTTCCTCCCTAGACCAGGCCAGTCAAGGAGACAGGACACAATGCAGCCCCCAGCCCGGCTACCAGTCCGTGACTGCTGCAGGGGACTAAGGAGTCAAGGTTTGGAGGTAGACTGAATGTGTTTGCACTTCCTCTGCCGAGCTGGTCTCTGGAGAATGACAGTGACATGTGTTGAAATGTTTGGGTATGTTACTGTAGTCACAAGCGAGCTAACCTTGTTACTGACTTGCAGATTGCCCGCAGAAAGGTGGACAGTGTGGCATTGCTGCCCCAGCTGGCTCTGGTGGAGGCGTTGCGGACAGAAGAGCTGCAGATCCTCAAGGCATCCGCCGGGATCCTGGATGGTCTGCACGCGGCTTTTGCCTGATTTCATCTATGTGCGTGCACCCGGTCCCTCCTGTGGTGGGTGGGCCTTCTCTGCGTGTGTGCACCTGGTCCCGCCTGTGGTGGGTGGGCCTCCTTTATGTGCGTGCACCCGGTCCCTCCTGTGGTGGGTGGGCCTCCTCTGCGTGTGTGCACCTGGTCCCTCCTGTGGTGGGTGGGCCTCCTTTGCGTGCACCCGGTCCCTCCTGTGGTGGGTGGGCCTCCTCTGCGTGTATGCACCCGGTCCCTCCTGTGGTGGGTGGGCCTCCTCTGCGTGTGTGCACCTGGTCCCTCCTGTGGTGGGTGGGCCTCCTCTGCGTGTATGCACCCGGTCCCTCCTGTGGTGGGTGGGCCTCCTCTGCGTGTATGCACCCGGTCCCTCCTGTGGTGGGTGGGCCTCCTCTGCGTGTATGCACCCGGTCCCTCCTGTGGTGGGTGGGCCTCCTCTGCGTGTGTGCACCTGGTCCCTCCTGTGGTGGGTGGGCCTCCTTTGCGTGCACCTGGTCCCTCCTGTGGTGGTGGGAATGGGGCATTTCTTACAGCCTTGATAGGTTGTTTCTTTTGTATGGAATGATGGGTAGCTGGTGAGTGCTTTCTACCAAACACTTAGGTACTGAGTCCTTTTCCTGTGTTTTTTTTCTTCAAATAGTGAACTTCAGGAGCGTCTCTGAGGACAGAGCAGTGCCTGTTCCGGGGTGTGGAAGGAAGCCTGCAGGGCAGAACCGGCGGTGGGCCACGAGTGAGTGATGGTGGCTGTGTAGCTCTGTCCAGTAAACAGCAGGCCTGGAGCAAGCACCAGTGAAGTCCTGACTTGTGGGACCGGGGAGACCAAGGAGCCAGCCGCCAGCTGCCAGCCAGAACTCGGGGGTTGGCATTGTGCCCAGCAGCGGGCAAAGGGTAGGCCTTGTGCTTTCACAATTCCCTGGATCCCACTGACCTAAGCACAGGTCGGCAGTCGGTGGCCCTGGGTGGCAGTGTTAGCCCATGCGGCCTCAGCCTTCAGTCCCACCTGCTGTGGAGGCACTGACTTGCATGTTGAGGAGCTCTGGGGGACACAAAAGGCCCCCATCAACCTGCTCCTGGCCTTTGGTGCAGCCAGGGCAGGGCCGACGAGTCACTCTGAGGGAGAAGGCCTGGCTCAACCTCCAGCTCTTCCGTCTTGAGCTCTGGTGTCCAGGACAGGCTCTTGCCCACTGCACCCTGTGCTGGGGTGAGCGTATCTGCTGGTGTCTGGGGCTCAGTGGGGACCACACCTAGAACCACGGTGAACCTTGGGCCTCTGTTCTTCCTGTTGGCTTTGTTTTTGTCCATCCCAGTCTCAGGGTGGGGAGAGCAGGGAGTCACTCCCTAACTGTCAGCCACCTGCAGAGGTCCTGGAGCCATACCCACACAGGCTGGGGTGGTCTGTGCTGAGGGTGCCACAGGAAGACTTGCTGCCTTTCAGATCCTTTTGGTTGTCCCTGCCAAGTGCCCCATCTTGCCCAGAACCCAAGTGTCTTTCTCAGTGTGGCACTCAGCAAGCCCAGTGAATGGGGCCCTCTTTCCTCCAGTGAGAGTTTAAATAAACCGTTTTCATGATCAGACCTTAACCATCTTTCCTGGTTTTTGTGCTGATTTTATGTGTGTTTCCATTTTACTTGAAACAGAGGCAGAGTGGAAGTGGAAGTGGGGGATCTCCCATCCACTCCCCAAATGTCTGCATCAGTCAGGACTGGGCACTGGGGCTGTGTGTGCTATGTGCATGGTAGAAATGCCAGCGCTTGGGTCATGATGAGCAGGGAGGTAGATCAGAAGCAGACAGCTGGGACTCTGACCAGTGTTCTGATGAGAAGTTCTGGTGACACTAGCTTAACTGTGCCAAAGTCCTGGCTGCTAGTCCATGTGGTTTTGGCATTTAAATGAGTATATTAGAAAGGAAAATGTGCTCATAAAAAATAGAAGTTAATAAAGGTAAGATCACTGCCTCACCGTGACCAGGATGACTGTAATCAGAGGACAGCCTACCAGTGCTTTCCAGGGCACCAGGAGCCTGGAGCAGCTTAGTCCGCTGGAGGGAGAGTGTACAAGCTTATCGCGGGGCTGTGGCATGGGCCAGCACTGCTGCTCCCCAGAATGTCCCCAGGGGAACTGGAGCCATGCTGAGGCACAGCTGGTGGCTCGGGCACAATGAGCCCAGGTGTGCCCTTCCTGTGGGGACCGGATCAGCAAGCCGTAGCTCAGGCATGAGGTGGGACAGGATTTGGCCAAGTACAGGCGCTATAGCACGGAGCACAGGAGAGCCTGGCGCGGGAACCCTGTGGAGGGAGGCCTGCGGAGCTGCCTGTTTCTGAAGCTTCCAGTGTGGGTGTGTCTGTGGTAGTGGGTAGGATGGTGGTGATTCCTGAGGCTGGGCAGGGGGCAGGGGTGGGTGCTGCTTGTGTAGGTGGGACGGCGAGCGGGAGATTAGAGGGTGATGGTGACCCAGCATGGGGTTCTGTTTGGGGCCCTGAGAGGGGACTGTGTCCTGCAGTCATGATGGTCGCACATAGAGCCCTGGGCTGATACTAAAACCTGCCGAGCCACGCACCCAGGAAGGCTACATGAACACTGTTCAATAAGGCTGTTTGTGCAGGACCATTTCCTGGAGGGCAGCATTTGTGAGAGGGACAGCCAGGTTCAGGCTGGCACCTGCTCGGCTGCCCAAGCAGGGCTGTGGGTGCACTCGAGCCTAGCTGGGTCGGCTCACGGTGGAAGAAACTCAAGAGGGCTGGTGCAGTCCAGCCTTTTGTAGTGCAGTCCCTCGTGACTCAGTCCCTGGCTTACTTTGTTATAAGCACAAAGGGACTTGTTAACAAGGGGCAGGGAGCCGTTGCAGGGCCCAGGGAGCCGCCTTCAAAGCCCCAGCGAGGGCTTATTACAGAGCAGGGAAGTTGCGTTCCCAGAGGGGACACAGGCAAGTACAGAGCCTGCAGGCTGCTAGGTCTTTGAATCAGAATCTCAGTGCAAGGTTGGGGCTGTGGATGGCAGATGAGCCCCTGGGCTTTCAGTCCCTGCCACTTTTTGTAGACCACTCGTCTGGAGCGCTAAGGAGGAGGCTCAGGGTTTGACCAACTGGACCCGAGGTGCGGTCAAGTTGAGCTTGGTCCTCACTCCCTGTAGGTGGCAGCAGAGGACAGGGGCAGAGGGGCCAGGGGAGGCCTTGGGATGACCCTTCAGGATCAGGGCCTGTGTTTTCATTGTGGTGGGCTCGGCCCTCTGGCATTCTCCCCCACATGCTGTCCAAGGACCTCCCCCAGCCTGCGAGACCCAGGTTGAGCAGGGCCACAGGGGATGAAGGAAGGAGGCCAGGCGGGGTGGGATACACAGCCATGGCACCCTCCCAGTGCCGGGCACTTGTGTGCATCATTCGTCTCCTAGCCTGCAGCAGGACTGTGTCCTTTATCAGGAAGATGGTAAGCCCCTGAGGGGCCAGGTGGCCTTTCCCGTGTCGAGTAACTGGTAGAAACCAAGGTGTACGGTTGGTGCTGTGCCATAGTGGTTAAGCCACCACCTGAGGTGCTGGCATCCCATATGGGCACCGATTTGATTCCCAGCTGCTCCACTTCCCATCCGGCTCCATGCTAAAGGCCTGGGAAAGCAGCAGAAGATGGCTCGAGTCTTTGAACCTCTGCACCCATGTGGGAAACCCAGAGGAAGTTCTAGGATCCTGGTTTCATTGTGACTATTTTGGGAGTGAATTATCAGATATATATATATACGCCCAAGGTGTGTAGTGTCTGAGTTGAAGTCTGATGGGTTAGCGACGCCTGTTTCTGTCTTCAAGGACAAAGTGGGATCCACCATTTGGAAATAGTTTATTTCGTTTTTCTGGGTTTTGCAAAATCAAGAGTCATCTCACCATGTCGCCCTCTGCTCCCTTGCTGTGCTGTAGCGAGGAAGGAGTGTGGGCCAGCTGCTCTGCCTGCAGCTGCCCCAACAGCCCCACTGTAGTGTCACAGCCTCTGCCGGTCACGTGGCAACCCCCAGCGGGGATGGGCAGCAGGGAGTCTGGGGGCTGAGAAGGTGGGCCCCTGACAGTTCTGCATCGTGCTCTGGCAGCATTTAGGGGAATGTTCTGGTGCCCAAGAAGCTGCTAGGATTCCTGAGTGCTTCTCCCCAGCTTGGACTCAGAAGAGAAGGCCCAGACTAGGCCGCAGTACTTAGTAATCACCCAGGGGGCCGCAGTACTTAGTATTCACCCGGGACAGTACATCGTCCCAGTTATGTGTTTGACCCAGTTGCAGAGGGAGACTCAATTACTTCAGAATAAAAGGTGAATTCAGGGTCATCCCTGAGGGAGGAGGCCGAGAGACCCGGCTTTCTGAGCATCCTCACCGCCCCGGCCACAGGCGGTGAAGCCTGTCAGGGGCAGTTCACAGCCTCCACCCTCCATCGTGGTCACAGGGAGGACTCGGACTCTTGAGGCTGGCTGCCCTGCCCTGCTCCCCGCCCCTGCCCTCTGTCGGAGGGTCTGATCTCATTGGTCTGGGGTGTGACAGAGTCGAATATCTGCTATTCCTCTCTTGGAGCCTCTGGGAGCCTCTGGGATGTAGATGCAAATGACTTGAACCCTCCCCAGCTGGAACATTCTGGGTTCAGAGGGCTTCAGTTACACAAGTTTTAGGAGGCAGAAAAGTGTCAGTTTCCATGCTTTGCAAGTTATCTCATGAATCAAGTTTTAAGTAAAACCAACCCATGTCAAGTGCAGATGAATTCCAAGATCCAAAGCGCCATCTTCTGGTCCAGCAAATGTTGCGTGTAGGTGCCCAGCCCGCAGCAGGCCCAGTGTTAACAGCAGGGTGTGACTGGGGTAGTGGGGCTTGAACTACTTCCATCTTCGTCCACTAGATGATGCAAGAGGACCACTGAGCTGAGGACCTGGCGCATGGCTGCTCCATCCATCCAATCAAGAAAGATGCTTTCCCCAAATATTCAAAGATTCCAACCAGGCAAAAGTCACTCTCAGTGATTGATGTTGCTGGGATAATAGGCAGACGCTCACATTCTCTTTTTGGCCATAGGAGTTCCTTGAGCAAGAAACAGGCAGGCAAACCTATGGAAGAGGCCTGGCCAGGTGGGGCAGGGGCTGAGGGGTGAGGGGCAGGCAGAGGAATGGCAGGTGGTGAAGGGGCAAGAATCAGCCTGCCTGTACCGACGAGCTGTAAATAACACGTCCCTGGCTCTCCCTTTGACAAGGGAAGCCTTTCTCCCAGCAGGGGCAGGGTTTAGTTCCCTTCGCCATTCGCCAGAGGTGGACTCAGGCCTCCCGGAAGGGTAGGCCAAGAGAGGGAGGGTGATTTCCAGGGTGTTCCAATTGGTCCATTTCTTTCCTTCCTCTCCTGCACAAGGAGAGGGAGACCACGCCTGGATCCCTTTCTGCTGGATATTTCTGGAATAACAGTGCAGTCTGTCTTTGGGGATGGGAGATCAGGAGAAATGCTGCTGGAGACGCATGTGGGGGTCTGAAGATGGGGCCTCAAGGCTGAGTGAAAACAGCAGTCACCACCACAAACCCTCTGTCTGTCCTTGCACATCGTCTGTCCACAGGCAGCTGAAGAGCTGCAGGCCCGCAGATGGCTGCTGATGGGTACTGGTACCGGCTAAGTGAAACAGCATGCCATGGGTTTATGTTGGTGGCGTCATCTCTATCACTCTCTCTCTTTTTTGGTTGGCTGGACTCTTTCATTGCCTCTGTATTATTATTTTTTAAGATGACAAAGAGATTTTCTATCCTCTGGTTCACGCCGCAAACAGCCGTCAATGGTTAGAGCTGAGCTGATGTGAAGGCAGGAGCTTCCTTTGGGTTTCTGACCTAGGTTCAGGGGTCCAAGTACTTGAGCCATCTTCCACTACTTTCTCAGGCCATAAACAGGGAGATGACACCACCAGCCCCCCGGGACCAAACAGTGTCCCTCCTGGAAAGTGACCTTTGCTGGGGTCACCTGTCTTACAGGCGTGGTATTTCTGGCCTGAAGGGTGCTGTGCTGAAGCCAGGACTGGCAGCCTCAGAGTTTGTTGGTAATGCAGATCTTAGCCCCTGCCTCGGACTGGTAAGTACAGTTTGTGTGGGAAGAAAGCTGCCATGCTGCTGCCCCCTGGCTGGCGTCGCTCCACACCCCGTGGCATCCCTCTGCATCTCCTGGCTGGCATCCCTCTGCGCCCCATGGCTGGTGTCCCTCTGTGTCCCCTGGCTGGTATCCCTCTGCATCCCATGGCTGGCATCTCTCTGTGTCCCCTGGCTGGTGTCCCTCTGTGTCCCCTGGCTGGTGTCCCTCTGCGTCCCACGGCTGGCATCCCTCTGCGTCCCACAGCTGGCATCCCTCTGTGTCCCCTGGCTGGTGTCCCTCTGTGTCCCCTGGCTGGCATCCCTCTGCATCTCGTGGCTGGCGTCCCTCTGCGT